TAAAGGGAGAGAAGAACTTCTTGGCCCCGTCGCAACTGGTGCTTGGATTTGGTATTATGTTCCAAATCAGCCAGGAAAGCGTTCGGAACCATAAGCAGCGATTTGACACGTCTGATGTTCCGCAAGCCGCTATAACTCCTGTGGATGAGGCTGAACCTTCCGAGCCGAAGGACGTCGTGGAGCCAGAAACCCTAGGGCAGACAGAGACCGCCGAACAGGTCCCCGAACAGGCCCCCGAACAGGCCCCCGAAGAGACCACCGAAGAGGCCACAGAAGAGGCACAGAGGGAAGATGTGGGATCTGAAGAGGAGGATGAAGATGAGAAAGCTGCCACCAGAAACCCTCTTCAGCGAGGCAATTCGGAGCCCCTGACCTCTCGGCCAAGTCAAGGATCGGAGCCTGAGTCTGAGCCGGAAGATGAACCGAAGGATGAGCTGGAGCAAGAAGTTGCAGAAGAACAGCCGGGGGGAGAAGAAACTACAACAACAGCAGGTCAAAATTCTATGCCCGAGCAAAACGAAGAACCGGACTTGAACGCTCGAGAGCGACGTACCTTGAGACAGGGCAAGCCTCTTGACCGTCCCGGTGAAGAAAAACAAGCTGCACCACGCATCGCTCCTACTCGCGGCAAGCGGGCGAAAGACAAGCGCGCGGCTGCCAAGTATGCTCATCAAGACGAAGATGAGCGGGAACTTGCTCTTAGGTTGGTGGGTGCCAACAAAGGCAAAGCCGCTAAGGCAGCCAAGGCAGCTGAAGCCAAGGAACAGCGTGAGCGAGAGGCCGAGGCGCAAAGGCAACGACGACGGGCCCAACATGAGCGTGCCGCCGAAGCCGAGCGCAAACGCCAGGCCCAATTCACGGAAAATGGAACGGACGACTACAACGAGGAGACAGCTGCCGCAGAAGCTGCGGATCTCACTTGGATTCCAGCCTTGGTGGGTACACCCACTCCGGACGACGAAATTATTGCTGCTATTCCAGTGTGCGCCCCATGGGCTGCCCTTGGGCGCTACAAATACAAAGTCAAGCTGCAGCCAGGCTCCGTGAAGAAGGGCAAGGCCGTCAAGGAGATCATCGGTCGGTGGGTGTCCGAGACCACCACTGGGAAGGTCAAGAAGGAGCACGCCGAAGATGTCGGGATCTCTCGTGCTGATGCTGAACGTCTCCGGGAACGGGAGGGAGAGCTCATCAAAGGCTGGAAAGATACAGAGATTATCAACACTATGGTTGTGGGCAAGGTGCGCATCATGACTGCAGGAGCTGGAAGCGGAGGAGGTGGTGATAAGGGCAAGGGCAAAGGTGGAAAGGGTGGTGGTGGAGGTGGCAAAGGGGGTGCTAAGAGTAAGAAGAAATGATTGAGTCTTTTGTATACATTAGAGAGCACATAGATTAGACCTTTGGATCCAATTCAACGCGGTTATACCAGGTGGTATCATTGGTTTCAAGCTGATGTATACCAAACCTCGTCTCTTTATGCCAGCTGATCAGCCACAACCCCGCTTCGACTAGTTCATCTGCACTTATTTCAACCTCATACAATCATGAATAACTCCTATTCTTCCAAATATATTGCCAATAATAATATCGTTGTCGGTGTCGATGCGCTGAGTCATCCGACGTCATGACCCGAAGCGATTTCTTCGTGATCTTAATATAGGGCCTCTTATCGCTTCTGACGGTATTGCGCAGAATGATAGTCAACCGCGTACCCTAGAGACGACTCCCGATTTTACGCCGAGGACGAAAAAGACTTTTGCCCCGCGCAACCAGAACCCGGCCCCTCGGGCATCGTTTCGCCCCTCATCTGCTAGTGTGCGCCTGAATGGTGCGTCGTCGAGGTCTTCTCAAACATCACGTTGCTCTTCCCTCGCGCTTTTGCCGGCCACTGTCAGCGCAGTTGTGCCAGATTCCTGACCACGATGTCTACAAAAACGCGAGTTGTCCCCGTCCAGCGGCTCAGCCAAGGGCCTGGCGATTTATCTCTGGCGGAATGGTGGGAGAAGGAGCGCAGCCAAAAAACACCCGAGTCGCAAGCCATCGAAGAAGCTGCCAAACTTCTCCGGTCTAGTGACATCCCCGTCGCCTTTCCTACCGAGACAGTATATGGCCTAGGAGCCGACGCCACGCGCAGTTCTTCTGTCCAAGGAATCTACCGCGCCAAACAGCGGCCCTCGGACAACCCGTTAATCGTTCATGTCGACTCACTCGACATGCTTGAGCGTCTCCTTAATCCCAGCTCCCAGGGCAGTCCTAGCTCAACTAAAACACCGCCAATCGCACTGCCCCCGATCTACAAGCCTCTGATCGATAGATTCTGGCCCGGCGCACTGACAATCATTCTACCTAACCCATTCGGATCCATACTGGCACCAGAGGTCACCTCTAGCCTGACCACGTTCGGCGTCCGCATGCCCTCTTCTCCACTGGCGCGTCTACTCATCCATGCAACAGACCGTCCTCTCGCCGCGCCATCTGCAAATGCATCCACCAAACCGTCCCCAACAACCGCGCAACACGTATACCACGATCTCAAAGACCGCATCGACATGATTCTTGATGGCGGTGCATCTGGCGTTGGCGTCGAGAGCACCGTAGTGGACGGGTTATGCGACCCACCAGCGATTCTACGCCCCGGCGGCATCGGCATCGACGAAATACGGAAATGCGAAGGGTGGGAAAATGTAGCAGTCGGCTACAAGGACGGCACGCTAGACGTGAAGGAGGTTCCGCGCGCACCGGGCATGAAGTACCGCCACTATTCGCCAAAGGCACGGGTTATTCTCTTCGAGCCGTCATCAAACCCAGCCGGAGTGATGAATCATGTCATAAAGGACTTGAAAGATACAGCCATTGGCGCACACAAAATTGGGATTATCCGCACGCGAAACTGGAAGCTCGGCTTGGAGCTGGCTCCAGAAGATGACATCGCCAGTACCATGAGCCCTGTGCCTTCTCCCATTGGGAACATTGTCAGTTTCCCGATTCCCGTGCTGGAGGATGGAAACTTCAGTAGCCGCATGAAGGTGGCATATGATTACCATCTTGGCTCAGATGTAGTTTCCATCGCGCATGGTCTCTTTGCCGCCCTACGCGGGCTGGATGAGCTTGATGTCGATGTTATCTACGTGGAGGGCGTGTCAGATCGCGAGGGTGACCTGGCTGCGGCTGTCATGAACCGGCTCCGAAAGGCTGCTGGTGCCGAACTGCGGGTTTAGCCCTGAAGATGGGCTACGATTACGTATATCCTCTTTTATTCCAAGACTTGGGTGCTTTCGGGGTTTAGATAGAGGTTTAAAAAGTGTGAATACTAGATTCAAATATATTTTAACATTTTAACATACAATAATGTGTATGATCCAGGTTTGTTTTCATGTAGTGTATAGAGGATCTGTGAGTGAAGTCTCTTGGACTTAAAACCCGTTTGGTAAATCCTGTTGACCTTCATTCGATGTGGAATTCGGAGACCTCCGGATCGAAAGCTTATCGATGGGCCTAATTCTGGGATTAAAAGTCCACGGAGAAAAGACAGCCGTGTCACGAAAAAGAAGGCCCATGATAACCTGAGATACCAGCGGGGGAGAAAGGAAACTCGTCCGGCGCTTATATCTCGTCCCGCATCTAGAAAATCCGCACACCTAAAGAACCTTACTTACTGCAACCCGCAACAATGTGTCAGTCTCCTTTGCACGAGTTTCTCGAGGGTCTCCCTAAATGTGAACACCACGTCCATCTCGAGGGCACCCTTGAGCCCGAACTCATCTTCGAGCTCGCGACGCGCAATGGTATCACCCTGCCGACCGACTCAGTCTATACTTCTGTGGAGACACTCAAGCAACGCTACGAGCACTTCAGTAACCTGGACGACTTCCTACACTTCTACTTCGAAGGCATGGCCGTCCTCCGCAAGGAACAGGACTTTGCCGATCTAGCCTGGGCATACTTCCAAAAGGCGCACGCAGACGGCGTCCACCACGCGGAGGTCTTCTTCGACCCGCAAGTACACCAAAGCCGCGGTGTACCATATGAGACTATCGTCACAGGCTTCTCAAAGGGGTGCAAGCGCGCCGAGACCGAGCTCAGTCTAAGCACACGACTAATCCTGTGTTTCGTGCGGCATCTCCCCGTCTCATCGGCCAAGGAAGTCTATGACGAGATCCTGGCTCACCAGCACTTTGAGTCTGGCGTTGTGCACGGACTCGGCTGGTCTTCTTCAGAAGTTGGCCCGCCGAAAGACATGTTCCGCGAGATTTATGCGTCAGCCGCGCAGAAGAATATCCCGCTCACGGCGCATGCCGGCGAGGAAGGTGATCCGACTTATATCAGCACTGCGCTTGAGCTGGGTGCCCAGCGTATCGATCATGGTATTCGCCTGGTTGAAGACGAGGAGTTGATGCGGCGTGTGGCGCGGGACAGTATCCTGCTTACCGTCTGCCCGTTGTCGAATGTGCGGCTGCGCTGTGTCACCTCTGTGAAGGAGCTGCCTATTCGGCGATTCTTGGAGGCTGGAGTCAAGTTCTCGATTAACAGTGATGATCCTGCTTATTTTGGTGGCTATATTCTTGATAACTACTGCGCTGTACAGGAGGCTTTCAACCTGAATATGATGGAGTGGAGGATCATTGCAGAGAATAGTGTCCAAGAGAGCTGGATCGAGGATTCTCGCAAGGCGGAGATGCTGGCAAGTATTGAGGAGCATGTCAGCAAATATTCACGCATGCAAACTATTGCTGTATAAACGCCGGTCTGTTGGTGGATGGATGTATTTGGTTTCTGTTCGAGTTGTGGCTGTGGTAGGCGTGAGCGGTGCATCTGATACCCTGTGTTTCAACACTCTTGTATACTATTTTTCAACTTAGGTATATACCAGGAGAATAACAAGTTATATATTCATTCGCATGCACTTCTCGATGAAGTACCCTGGAAGGAATTTTGAGCCTGTTCGGGAATAGCTGATATCACTGGTGCCTTGTAAATCAGGCTGAGTTGGTTCCATGCCTTGAATGACTCACTTGCGCACTTCCAACCTTGGAAGGTTGTTGTTGTCTGACAGTCGACCCCGCTGCACGACACAGTATTTCATGCCCCGAAACATCCTTTGTGGTAGCTGGAGCCTAACGAGGTCTACTTTCCGGCCGCAACTACGCTCCCAGACACTTTATACCCTGCGTCTTGCATCGTACTTCGCAACCAACCCGAGAACAAACTTCCAGAAAAGCGCAGGACTACTTAATCTCTCCGAACGAAGTCGCATACAAAGCTACATCCATCCAAAGCACAAAATGTCCACATCCACTCCAGACCGCTACAAGCTCGTCTTCTTCGTCCCAACCGCCAACGTGGAGGCCTGCAAAGATGCCATCTTCGCCACAGGCGCAGGGTCATTCCCAGGTGGGAAGTATACCAAAGTCTGTTTCCAGACTGTTGGTACAGGCCAATTTCTGCCCGGCAATGGGGCAGTGCCGGCGGTCGGAACTGTCGGTGCTTTGGAACGGTGCGAGGAGGTCAGGGTTGAGATTATGTGTCTTGGCCGGGGCATTATGCTGAACGCAGTTGATGCTTTGGTCTCGGCGCATCCGTATGAGCAGGTTGCTTATGAGGTTTATAAGATGGAGAATGTCTAGTTGGTCGACTGAAGATGTGGTTGATGGGATGCGGCACAATACGGTGATGCAATTGGGACGGTGGTCATCTTGTTCTGCATTTGTCTTGTCAGCCCCACAGTATACGTCCATGAATACCAAGTAATTTCAAGCGATAAATAATTCGAGAGTATCATCGTCTCAATAAATGAGTGTTGTGTTGATTGCATTGAAGGGCAACTGTATGGCAGCGGATTGGTAAGGCGGTAGTAATCCCTGGATGCTGATTTGCCCAGGGCCCGCCCCGAGTAAAAGGCCTCGTCAACTTGACTTCTCCTCCAACCTCCAACCTCATCTCCCCCCAATTGACCCTCACTCATCGCCCGCGATGGCCTCTAAGCTCTTCTCAGTCCCACGGGTCGGCCGCCAGTTGGTCCACCAGCTCCCCAAACCCCAATACAGAGGCTTCTCCGCCGGTTCGCAACGGTTCAGCGACTCCCTTTCGGTGGTGCGTATTCCTTTGACCCCTCCTGTGCTTCAGGCGCCAATTGCGTCTCGGGATCAGGGAATCAAAGACTCATATACTGACTGCATTGTCTCCAATAGCACCGCAACAAGCCCAACAACAACCCGACCATCCCGTTCAAGTTTTCCGAGCAGAACCTCACACTCGCCGATGAGATCCTCAAGCGCTACCCTCCCCAGTACAAGAAGGCTGCCGTCATGCCTCTGCTTGACCTCGGTCAGCGCCAGCACGGCTTCACCAGCATCAGTGTCATGAACGAAGTCGCTCGCATGCTCGAGATGCCCCCAATGCGTGTTTACGAGGTTGCGACCTTCTACACCATGTACAACCGCGAGCCGGTTGGCAAGTACTTCGTGCAGATCTGCACCACGGTACGTACCTGAAATCAAGGCTCTTTCCTGCTCTTGCTAATTCGCAATCCTATAGACCCCCTGCCAGCTCGGCGGCTGCGGTAGTACCGCCATTGTCAAGGCCATTACCGAACACCTCGGAATCACCCCCGGCCACACCACCGAGGATGGCCTCTTCACATACATCGAGGTCGAATGCCTGGGAGCTTGCGTTAACGCCCCCATGGTCCAGATTAATGATGACTACTACGAGGATCTGACCCCCGAGTCTATCAAGGCCATCCTGACAGCCCTTAAGGACTCCGCCACGGCTACCGGTGCCGGCACCAAGATTCCCGCCCCCGGCCCGCTAAGCGGGCGCAATACCTGCGAGAACAGCGCCGGCCTGACCAACTTGACTGACGTGCCAGTGTGGAACCCGGAGACGATGATGCGCAAGGACAATGCATTGGACGCCACCCCCAAGCAATAGGAAAGCACGAAGAGGAAAATTATTAAAAGAGCTCTTCATTGCCGTGGGTCAATTCCGGATGGGGAGGATATTATAATGGTTGTGTTTCTTTTTTGAATGGATGAGCAAAAGCCGCCTTGGGCCACTGCGGTCAACCCAGGGAATGATCAGAGGCCACTGCGCCCTTCACCCTAAGGCGCCTTGAATCATAACCACTCTTGAGGCGTCCTATTTTTTTTTTCTGTCTACAACATACCATGTACAGTACGTTTGTTCCTGGTCCTTATTTGTGTGATTGGAGCCCGGATACAGATCTGGCCCAGTCGCTGTGGGATATACGGCAGGACCAATCGCAGATTTTTTTTCCATTTCCTCCTTTTCTTGTACCGGCTATTGACCGTAGACAGGTGAGTCCATTGTACAAGATATTGCTCATTTCTGCTGTACCTATGGGAGTAATGTATTGCATTGCATAGTTATTATCATTTGAGATATCCACTTCAACATTATCCGCAGGCTTAGTTAGGGCATATACATCGTAGACTTGTATAGCATGTCATTATCGAAACGACCAACAGCCTACATAGGCTCTGAGTTCAACAGGTGCTCCAGTCCACAAGATTCTTCCTGGTAGACAGGCGACAAGTGTTGGCACGGAATTGTATCCCCATGACTTGGTTTTCAGGGGGCACATAGCCACAGTTAACTAAATATCCAACTTCCATGGTTTTCAGAGAATCGGAACCCTCTTCTTCTTCTTCTTCTTCTTCTTCTTCTTCTTCTTCTTCTTCTTCTTGTTCTTCATCTTCTTGTTCTTCATCTTCTTGTCTCACTCTCGTGGATTGTACGCACAACAATGAGCAAGCTATCCGAAGACTAGCAACAGAGATGATCAAGGACCCTGAGATGTGGGTAAGATCCTAAGATGTGGACAAGGGCCGCTGAGATGATCAATATGCCTAGATATGTCGTAATCCATCCTTTGATGTTGAAGCTCATAGGAGATAATCCTTTGGTAGGAGAAAACATCATCAATATGTGTCTACATTCAACAAAGAGGGCGAGGAGTAAGAGGCACCGGGATTAAAGTTTATAGAACAGAAGTATGTATTGCAGGTACTACATACAATATTCACCCGTGTCGACCTCGTCGACCAGCGAATTTTAATATGAGTAAAAAAGGTCGCCGGCGAATATAAAATCGAACCGCACCAATGGCACCTGTGGTAGGCCTTAGAGGGATGGGGGCCTACTCTGGCAGCTCCTCTCCTTCGTATGCGACATCGTCTGGTAACACTGACCCTTCTGGAACCAAAGCTGGGACACCTTGACGCTCAACGAGCTTGCTTGATTGAGCCTTCTGGAAAACGTTGACATCGTATGTTTCCTTAGCCAGCAAATGATAGACATGGACATCGCGTTCCTGCCCGAATCGCCGCGCACGCCCGATTGCCTGGGTCATGCCCGAATCATAGTCATGGTGAGAGGCGGTGAAATATGGTGACAGGAAGATGACATGATTTGCGCATTGGAGGTTCCTTTATATCAGCCAGATTAGTATGGTTTCAAACAAAGAACAACCGATAACAGAAGAGATAAATAACTTACAATCCAGCTGCCATGGAGGTTCCTAGATTCAAGATCAAAGCCTTCGGTCTGGAAGGTGGTTGGGTGATGCCCTTCTTTGGTTTGGGGGGCTCTTTGAACTCATCGATTCCCTTCAAGTTGGTCTGTGTGACCATGCGGTGGTCGATGTTCGCTGCTTTGAGGGCATTCGATGCCACAGGCAACAGGTGGTTGATTTGCACGAAGATGAGGACGAGTTCGTCCTCTGGGACATTACGGATGATCTCAACAAGCTTGTTGAGCTTGGTGCTCTGGATTGCCTGGTCTTCGCTGACAAGGATTTCACCGGGTACAACCTTCGATTGGACAATATGGCCACTGCATCCAACGATGGGGCAAGGCTTGTGTGTCTGGGTGATCGCGGCTGCAACGCAGCTTTTGCAGAGGGCATGACCGCAGGGTTTGAGAACGGTGACCTCTTCTCTTTCTTGCAAATCACTCTCACACCCTTGACATGGTGGGATTCCAATGGTTCGGATCTCTACCAGGTGCTCGTAGAATCGGCATTCCCGATCAATCTCCAGGACTTGCTTCAAGAGAGAGGTGACATCAGTGGACAAGGCTTTTTCGACAGCCGTCCAAACCGAATTGCAAGACGTATCGTTGGTTCCTCCATTGTCTGCAGCCCTGGGAGGACGTCTTCCAGTGGTTGTGTTGCTGTTCTTCGCGTTCAGGACCTTTTGGAATCGCTGCTGGAGCAAACCTTCGATTGGTCGGTGTTGCTCGGCGAGTTTCCATTCGCTGTATGAGCGGATGATGCCCTCTAGGAGTTCGTTGAATCTTCTGTTCAGTTCCGCGTCCCCGAAATCAACCTTGGCAACACCATTCAGGGCGTTCTGCCAGTCTTCGGGATCGGTATTGTTCATTTCGCGACACCAGACAGTCGCTGCTTGTCGACTGATCGAGTCCACTTTAGTCCAGATCTCGGCGGATTTCTTTTTGTCGTTCCGCGAGCCTTTGCGGCACTTTTCGAGGTTCCATGGAGGCTGTCCGATTTGACTTGTGACGCAGGACATGATGAGAGCCTCTTGGGGGAACTGGCTCTTGGACAAAATGGTGTTCAGGGGACCAGGGATCCGTCTCTTGTTTTCTTTGACGGCGCGGAACAACGTATCGTACGCTGTCTTTTCAGTAGGGGACTGTTCGGTGATGACAAGGTTTGTTGTCAAGGGAATTTGTATGATGCGTGCAATGTTCCTACGCACAAACTGGTCCAGGAATCTTTGAGCATGCTCTCGGCGGTTTTGATACCAGGCGTTGCTGTGGGGGGCCTGGTAATACTGGAATGCCTCAACAGCTGTGTAATTCTTCCGGATGTTTCGTACTCTGCTGTTGTGTGTCGGCCTGTCGCAATCGCCATCGTCGTCCACACCAAGGTGTAGACCAAGGTAACGCGCAATACTCTTGATGTCGGCAAATTCACGAAGAGCTGGCGTTCCGGAAAGGATCCATTTAGAGCGTGCCTGCAATGAGAGCAGGGAAGCCTGTCTTTCTTCCCCAGCATATGTGTATTCGTCGATGACCAAACGGCTGAAGTTGAAAGCGTGAATGAATGCGGCTTTGACATCGCGCCAGTCTTGCTTGGCGCTCTTTTTGATATCAAACTCCTTGCGGTCATCCTTCCCGGCTTTTGGTTCGGCTTCACGTCTCTTTTTGTCATCGCTCACTTCTGCCAGGTCCGTCGATGGGCGTTTCTGTCGCTTTCCCCCTGAACTTTCCACTGACTTCCTAACGTGCCTCCGCTTCCGCTGGCCCACAGAACTCGCTGCTCCTGTCGAGCGTCCCGCATCAGATGCATCGAAGTCCTCGAAACCCGAGTCAGATTCAGAATCCAAATCTTCTTCTGCTCCTGCATTAGACTTTTCAAGACCATTATTAGCATCAGCAAATGCCTGGCCACGGAGGCGTCGAGAGGGCACGTAGGTGAAGTCGGCCTGTGTCTCTTGAACTCGGCGACGTCTGGCCTCCAATTGCTGGAGCATCGCCTCAGGCCCTTCTGTTTTCAATATTTCAACAGACTCCCGCAAGGAAGCACGAGCGTCGTGGAACCAGCTGTCGAAATTTCGACCTGTTCCTCCGCTCGATTTTG